TTGCGACCAAAAAGTGCCTAATGTAACTTCTGAAACCCATAGAAAAGGATAGAAAAGGATTATAACTTCTGAAACCCATAGAAAAGGATTTTATTTTTTAGCTACTTTTTCCTCCTGCTGCTGCTGCTCCTGCTCTTGCTGCTCCTTCTGTTCAAAAGACAGCTCCCGGATGGGAAAGCACCATGGCAGTGAAGGACGGAAAAGCGTCAAAATTGCGACCAAAAACTGCCTAATGTAACTTCTGAAACCCATAGAAAAGGATGATTTTTTAGCTACTTTTTCCTCCTGCTGCTGAAAGCTGCTGCTGCTGCTCCTGCTGCTGCTGTTGCTGCTAGCAAGAGCACCTCCCGGCACCAAAACAGCAAGGCAGGGAATGTCTTATTCCCTGGCGCGCTCCCCCTTGCGTCTGCCGGGGTCGGCGGATATACTACGGCTGCTGGTGCACCTGACTCTTCAAAAAGGCGGCTTCCGGCAAGGAAACCCCATGCTACTACTGAAGGACGACAGCGACTGCTGCTGCTGCTGCTGTGCCCACAAAGACACGGCCCTCCAGGACGGGGAAACACCATGGCCCTGAAGGACGAACAGAGTCCAAAATATGCGTGTCCCGGGGCCGGAACGTCCCTTCTGAAATCTCCTAGATCTCCTAGAAAAAGCTTGCTATAAAGCTTGCTATATAAAGCTTGCTATAAAGCTTGCTATACTACGTTTCTCGATGCTGGCTACTGGGAGCTGCTGCTGCTGTTGCTGCTGCTGCTGCTGGTGCACCTGACTCTTCAAAAAGGCGGCTTCCGGCAAGGAAACCCCATGCTACTACTGAAGAGCGACAAAGACACGGCCCTCCAGGACGGGGAAACACCATGGCCCTGAAGAACGACCAGAGTCCAAAATAGGCGTTTCCCGGGGCCGGAACGTCCCTTCTGAAATCTCCTACAAAAAGCTTGCTATACGTTTTTTTCTCGAGGCTGGCTGCTGGCTCGCTGCTGGCTCGCTGCTAGCTGCTGCACTGCTGCCGTTGCGCTTACTGCTGCGTCTGCTTGTAGTAGTAGTAGTAGTAGTAGTAGTAGGAGTAGGAGTAGGAGTAGGAGTAGGAGTAGGAGTATAGGAGTCGTAGTAGTGCAATACATCTTTTTCCCTTACGCGCTCCCCCTTGCGTCGGCCGGGGTCGGCGGATATATATATATATATATATATGATATGTATGTATATATATATATATATATTTGATATATATAGTCATAATAGTCATATGATATTTGTTCTTATTTGAAGGCAAGCGCCAGTCTGCAAAACCTGGGAGCTTGTTACAGGGCAATCTCCAAGCCGTGGGCGCGTCCAAGTTTCATTGCAAACTCTGAAGTCCCCTTCCTGCCTGTGTGGCACTGTGGCACAAGCTGGCACAAGTTTGCCAAAAAAATACAAGGTGGGTCCCCCTAGACAGATAAGTTGGTTTCTAACCCCCGTGAACTATAGCTATATCACCCATTAAGTTATAAGTTGGTTATAACTCCATGAACTATAGTTATCTCATGTTATATCCCCTATAAACGCATAGTTCCAACGATGAAATGGTGGATCGATGCAGATCCCTCTGGGCTGGTTTGGACTGGCCTGGATTGCGACGATGACCTGGCGCTCATCGCAGCCAAAGCACTGGAGGAAGCAGGGGAAATGGAGATGGCCGGCCTGTCGATTTGTGGAGGCAACGCGCAGTTGGCCCACACCTGGCCCAACGCCTTGAAGCTCCTGCAGACCATTGGAGCAGTCACCATTGGATGTGCTGAGACGATGGGTGTTTTCTATGGGTTTTTTTCTCAGGAGTTCATCCGTCCACCAGAAATAGGAAATCCATAATATTTGGATGATTTTTATTGGGTCGCTGAAAATCTAAATGCTCCAAGTATATAATATATCGATGCACATATATATATTATATATATATTATATATATATTATATATATAATATATATAATATATATATAATATATATAATATATATATATAATATATATATATAATATATATATAATATATATATAATATATATATAATATATATAATATATATATAAATAAATATAACTATATATTATATTATATATATAACATAATATATATAATATCTATCTATATATATATATATCTATATATATATATATCCAGTATACAATGTATACAGCTAAACTCCAACCTTGTCATCGCAACTCCAAGGCCTGGAAGGTCTTCAAAGGTGCAGGATGGCAGCAGATGCAGCCCGCCTGGGCCTCCTTGCGCCTCCTTGGACGGCTGATGCGAGGCGAGGAGGACTCCGAGGATGCCGTGGAGGCCCTGATTCAGACAGCCTCCTCGATGCCTCCCCAGTGGCCTTTTTTGGGTTTAGTTCGGTTTTGTTTGCTGTTTTTGGGTGTTTTTTTGGGGCGGTTGGATGGTTTGTCCATATACTTATCCATACATATCTAAACTTAATCCCAGTAAAAGTTAAACTAACTTAAGGGGAACAACAGAGCAAGGTCTCTGAACGTTTTGATGCTGGGCCCTTGCACCAACCTGGCGCGGGCCCTCCAACGGGCTCCATGGCTGGCGAGTCATTTGAAGAGGGCCGTGCTCATGGGGGGAGAGCTGACTGGGCGTCGCCTGGACTTGAACTTCATGTCGGACAGGGCGGCTGCCAGACATGTGATTTCAGCCAACTTGCCAACAGTCATTGTTCCCATTCAGAGCCCAGTTGTGGATTTGATGATTTGGATTTTCCCATATTTTTACCGGAAATCCACTGCGAAGGGAAATCTCCTGACGGGCATATTTTATATTTTGTTACTGTAGGTTCCTGACGCAAATCCAAGGACCTGTGCACAGAGCGCAGTGACTGCTGACTTTGTGCGCAGAGTGGAAAGCTGCGACTCGGCGGCACGTGCTGTGCTTCCAAAGATGCGGTTGCAGACGTGGCTCATGCCGGTCCTGGTGAACCGCCGTGTGCAAGTCGCGCTGGAAGGTTTGCCACGTAGTGCAGCGTTAGATGCAGGCTTCATACCATGGGATGTGGTGGCTCTGCTTGCGGCGGTGAGACCCCATCTTTTCACGGGCTGGGACTTCCTGGAAGTGGCATTTCCGAGTTGTTCGCAAGAACCCTGCAATGGCACCATGTTGACTCAACCTTCGGAAGCTACGGGATCTCATAGCAACCATAGCAACATTGTGTCGGTGCCAAAATTCATCACCAATGAAACTCTGATCCTGGAGACCATGCTGGAGCTGCTTTGCTCGGTGTCTTCAGTAGAGCCTTTGCCCAGCTTGGACTGGGGATTTGGCCGTGAAGTCTTTGCTGCACTGAATTCTTTGCTTGTGATCTGCGTCCTGGGCGTCCTGCTATTTTGGATGAAAAAGAAGAGACCGACTCTGATCTGGCCCCCCTGGCCCCTAGATCCCGTTTGTTTTTGCATGGTGGTTGGATTCTTAGATTAGGTATCCAATCGCACATCCCAGCTGGGTTTAATGTTTGATTCCGATGAGTCCTACCGGCCTACCATTGCTTCTATTCTCCTATGTGTATTCTCCATTGGTTCTATCCCAGGATTCTTCCAGTGGTTGCTTCCACTGGACACCTGGGATTTGATGAAGCGAATCAGTTGTCTGTCACCAGGTTGCCGCGGAGGTCTAGACCTGTATCATGTTCGGCCGCATCTTAGCCCAAAACGATCATCCAATGTGGCAAACCCAATAAACCACGATCCCAAACATAACACTTTTTACGGGCGTTTTGGAAACCATCCCCAGTCATGGTAGGTTTATAGTGGCTTGCCCACATGAATCATTAACCTTGACCCTAGCTCCACGCTCCAGGATGCCAGCGGCCGCATGGAGAAGAAGACCCTCGAGTGCGGCTGAACCGACTGACTGCTCGGCTGAAGATGGTGGGGGTTTAAACAATCACAACTGGTGGTTTAACCACCAAACATGCTGGTTTAGCCGTCAACCATGGTGACTTCACCATGAAATACCATGGTGGTTTGATGGTTTAACCATCAAAGGTGAGGGTTTTTTACCAAAAAGCGTGGCTTGAACCATCCAACACAGGAAGTTTTTTCGCTTAAATATGGTTGAACCATCCTGACAGGGGGGATATGTAGCCAAGATCCATATTTTGACTACCCTTGTGGCTGGGATCGGACCCAAGGCCGCGCGCGCTATTAGCCACAAAAAACGGGATTGAACCAGGCAACACATTGGATCCCAGCAACAAAAAGGGAGATTGAACCCGACAAAGGGAATGAACCAGCAACCAATGGCGATCTAACATGGATTTTTACTTAGGGATACTTAGTTAACATGGATTTTTACTTAGGGATACTTAGTTAACATGGATTTTTACTTAGGGATACTTAGTTAACATGGATTTTTACTTAGGGATACTTAGGGCCGATTCTGCCAATCGTTCACTGCGTATCTGCAATGACTGACTCAAAGCTACTTGCGGATGGCAGAAACCAACAAAAAAGACCAGGTTTTTGAGTGCATCAGCCATCCTCCAGATTGAGCAGCATTCATAGTATTCAAGACCCCTGTTCGTTAAGGATTAGTTCGGGGGCTATATTACCAGATATTATTTGGATTCATTTGGAATTATCATAATCCATTCTGGGAATCCTGTTCGGAACCCGTATTTCCTGGAACGACATTGCAATAAATGCATTAGTTAATCATTAGTCAATTATACCTCCATTATATCCCAATTATCATAGAATGACACAGAAATTCATCATTCATCGAAGGTACGTGCCCGCACTATACAAGATCTTCGATGAGATCCTTGTGGGATCGCGGGGCAGGGTTATGGCCATGTACTGGGGAAAATGAACTGATTTCATGGTGATTTTATCGGAGATTTTATGGAATATTGAATATTGAATATGGAATATGAATGGAATATGAATGGAATATGATTTCATTGCGGAATATGAATGGAATATGAATGGAATATGATTTCAGAATGGAATATGAATGGAATATGAATGGAATATGATTTCATTGTGGAATATGAATGGAATATGAATGGAATATGATTTCATTGTGGAATATGAATGGAATATGAATGGAATATGAATGGAATATGATTTCATTGTGGAATATGACTGGAATATTGAATGGAATATGATTTCATTGTGGAATATGAATGGAATATGAATGGAATATGATTTCATTGTGGAATATGAATGGAATATTGAATGGAATATGATTTCATTGTGGAATATGAATGGAATATGAATGGAATATGATTTCATTGTGGAATATGAATGGAATATGAATGGAATATGAATGGAATATGATTTCATTGTGGAATATGAATGGAATATGAATGGAATATGAATGGAATATGATTTCATTGTGGAATATGAATGGAATATGAATGGAATATGAATGGAATATGATTTCATTGTGGAATATGAATGGAATATGAATGGAATATGAATGGAATATGATTTCATTGTGGAATATGAATGGAATATGAATGGAATATGATTTCATTGTGGAATATGAATGGAATATGAATGGAATATGAATGGAATATGAATGGAATATGATTTCATTGTGGAATATGAATGGAATATGAATGGAATATGATTTCATTGTGGAATATGAATGGAATATGAATGGAATATGAATGGAATATGATTTCATTGTGGAATATGAATGGAATATGAATGGAATATGAATGGAATATGATTTCATTGTGGAATATGAATGGAATATGATTTCATTGTGGAATATGAATGGAATATGAATGGAATATGATTTCATTGTGGAATATGAATGGAATATGAATGGAATATGAATGGAATATGATTTCATTGTGGAATATGAATGGAATATGAATGGAATATGAATGGAATATGATTTCAGACAACCCCAATTCATGTTTGGGATGTGAGCTGCAAGGTATCAGAGTATCAGAGCTTTGAATAGCATTGACCCGGTGACCCATGCCCAGATTGGGCATATGGCCAACAAACATGAAGGATGCTACCATAGCTGGGAGATTACTGAAGAGATTTGATAGATAAAATGGTGTTTTTGAGGATTGCCAAACATTGGTGACAGACAAATCCGCACCAACATGGCTGTGCCGGGTGCAAATGGACTGGTTTTTTACGGCCATGCTCCCATCTTTGGACATGCCCACGGGTCCGGGAATGATGGTGATAAGGGATTGAGGTTTTGGGCTACATCCCAGTTCCCTCGTTGTAACACCTTTATTTCACATGATTATTCATGTTGATCCCAAGGTTTCAATCCGGGGAACCGATTTTTTTTGACCCCACCAAGTACATAGTACGTCTCAATATGGTAAACCCAATGACAAACAAGAGTTGTGTCAGGTTTATAATCAGTCTGTCAATTATGGTCAATTCATATATTATGTATAATATACAGTCATACAGTTATAGATATTTACACATATTATAATACAGGACATCGACATATCGAGAAATAGCGACGGTTTACCTTCCAATCTTCACCGCAGGTGAACGCCGCGGACAATTTGATCCGCGACCCCACCCAGGACATGATCCGTGTAGAGGCGTCACAGCGGGGTGAATCCCCAGCTTCTTATGGTGAGCTGAATGGGGACTTCATGGGAGTTACCTTTTGTTTAAATGGGATTTGATTGAATTGGATTTTCTGAGGATCCAATGGGATCGGATGTGAATCACCAACGATATGACTTGGGATCGTCCCAAAATGGGACAGCCGTTTGCGCCCGCGAGTTCGCAGGTGAAAAGAAAGGAGGGATCCATCAGCGTTTGGAACAACGGTGCAGGGTTGCCAGTGCAGGCTCCAACGGGGTGGGTTGCCATGGCACCTTTCTGGGGACGCCAACTGCCCAGCGGCGCCAGATGCACCGCGAGCACCAGTGCTACGTGCCCGAGTTGGTGTTTGGCTTGGGCCCTGATAGCATGGGGGCCCCACTCATGGCACATTTCTGAAGTGTGGTGCTCAATCACAGCTTTGAAAAGATGGGAGGCAGCAGGTGCTTCCACTAGTTAGTCACTAGTTACAGTCCCATCTTTTTGGCGAATTCTGAGGCCAGTTGTTAACCAGTGACAACTACGATGACAATGAGAAGAAGGTCGTGGGAGGACGCAATGGCGCGGGGCTTAGCTGCTTAGCAAGCTAAGCAGCTTGCTGCGCCGGATCCGGGGTGCAGATTTTTTTGGTTTGATGTGTTGGGTATACAATCGTTATTGACGGAACATTAGTATAAACTAGTATAAACCAACCATGTCATGCAGATTATGATGATGATGATGATGATGAAGATGAACTATTCATTTTTTTTTGGACGCCACAGAAGTCGACGCCAAACACTTCAAACCAACAGTGTCCAAGCATGACAGCAGCCCCATTTTTGTTTCCCAGATCCCCATTTTTGGTAGGTTATGGCGCGAAGCTTACCAACATTTTCTCCACCAAATTCCTTCTGGAAACTGCAGACTCCAAGCCTCTCGGCGAAAGGTTCTGGGTGGCAAGGGAGGTGGTATTTTGGAACTTCTGGAGATTCTGGTGGTGTTCAGTGTTCTAACGTACGTATTTGGATCCATCATGTGAAACATGGTTGTAGGATGTTGTAGGACTCTAAAAGCAAATGGTTTCGCCTATTTTTCGGGTTCCACTCGCTGGTGCGGTGAAATCTGAGCGCTGTTTCTGTTCAACTCTGCTGCCAAATGTATCGAGGTTTTTGGATGCTTAGATACTCTGAAAGCTGTCGGATAGAGCTGTACACTGCCGGAATTTCACCAATGATCAAAGACATATCACCCAAATTTGGTGACATTTCTCCCGAACATGGGAAGACCAACTGAAGACCCACCTCAAGCTTGGAGCCAAGGAGTGGCAAGAAGTACAAGCAGGCCTTTGCTAAACTGGGTGGAAAAGCGGATAGCATACCGTGGGGCAATCCGCCGACAAACACGTGGATCTTCGCGAACAAACATGGGTGAATTCATCAAGAGGAAGTACTTGGATGTCTTGCTGATTGGTTTCAATTTTAGATATATATGTATATATATATGTATATATATATATAATTTTATAAATGATATCTGATGATATGTAATGATCTATTCATGGCATATTCTGATATAAAATGATCCCGAAAGGCTGAATGTTCCATCGGAAAGGTGGACTCAGTGGGGATGTTGGGAGTAGCACCACTGGTGCTTCCAATCAGATTTGTTAAAGCCATCTCCCTATTTGTTGAAGCCCTAAAAGTACTTAGTTTCATCTATTGACCCATGGCTTCTGAGGGGTGTGAAAAATATGAACAGGGGATGGGATTAATATATATTAATATCACATCAAGCTGGTTAGTTATATGTATCCCGTTAAACCCGTGTTGATGTAAAGTCTCCCAGTCTCGCCCAACATTTCAATGAATATCCAATATATATATATATGTATCCATT